AGCCTGTTATCTGTGAGGGTGGCGATCTTGCCCTTTAGAAGCCAGTCTCTCTGGACTGTCTCTCTTGCTTGCTTGTCCTTCTGGTCTTTGTTTCATAGGAGCCACTATCTTTCGCCATCTGCTTCGGATTTCAGTCTCCACCATACTCAGTAGTAGAGAGCACATTTCTTCTCGTGCCACCCCTGCTCCCTCTATTGTCAATGTGCATCTGCGTTTCCATATGACCCAGAGTGCCGATTCCCTGAGCAGATTGAACCAGACTTCCCTGCTGCCCTTGATGTTAATGGGGGTGTTCGCGAAGAGTAGGATAGTTGGAGGGGGGATGTTGGGAGGTGTTGTTGGGAAGAGGATCGACCAAAGTTCCAGAACCTTCTTCCAGATCCAGGTCGCTTCCGGACAGAAGAGAAGGCAGTGGGGTATGTCTTTGGGTACGTTGTTGTTACACAGCATGCAGGATGCTAAGCTGTCTGGGTCTGAGTGTTTCCTTCTCTCGTGAAGCCATCGGTTGACAGGGAGGGCTGCTTGAGCTATGAGTGACTGCATACTAGATTCTGATCGGTCTGATGAGAAAATATTTGGTCCATGGGATGGTGAGGGGGTCTAACGGTCTAAGTGGAGGATGTTTCTCCACTTTGTCGCCAGCCTGGGGTTCAGGTCTGTGGTCAGCAGTCCGAGGTCGTACCCGAACTGTACATCATATTCTGTTATCATTCTTCACTTCCCAGTGGTGCCCTGTTCCCGTATCCACTCCTTTGGTCAAATTTGAGCTCCTCAATTCTGAGTTCTGGTTGGAAGATGATCCATGGCTTGCTGTGAGAGACTCTAAGGCTCTAACCTTCTTAAGCAAGAAGGTTTCTACCCGTTCGTTCTGTGGTGTTTTGTTTTGCTTCTAGTTCGTACCGACTGCAACTGGTGATGGGATAGGATATGCAGCTGGCCTGGTAGCTGGTCGGATCTGGTCTAGATACGAAGCGGCAGGCTCTTGTTGGAGGGGTCTGGGAGATCGGTAGGCCCCAGTCTCCTGGTTTCCACGTGTGTTTCTCTTTAGGAGGGTCGTCCTCAGGGAGGGATGCTTTGGTGGATATCTGCTACGTTGGTGCTCAGGGAGTGACAACCTTTCAGGGGGGTCCGGAGTTCTTGGTCGGATAGCCAGTCCAGTCTCTCCTCGAACTATAGATGTTTGACCTGCCATACTCCTCTCTCACCCAGGATAGCCATCTGCGATCTTTTGCCCGGAGGGTCCAGGGTTTGTCCTCTGTGTCTTTGATCCAAGGATTGCAGAACAGGGGCTGCCTGAGGACTTCCTCTTTGTTGCTCGGTGTCCCTCTCTTGTTTGGCACCAATCGGCACCAGGCCTTCAGAACCGGTGTCCAATAGGTGTTGGGCGTGGGATTGGGCTGAGTAGACAGTGCTTGCCGGGTTTTCCTCGTTGATCTCTCTGATTTGAGCGACCAGTCTTTGGCCAGGATCCAGAACAAGCTGCTCATGTTAGGTGGAGAGGTTACATGTGCTAGGTCACTTATGCTGTCTAAGGCCAGTTTAGTCAAGGGAAGCGATCGTTTGGTTAGGATCTTGACCATCCATTTCATCTTCAGGGTGATCGCTTCATGTTTTGGGTCAATGATGCCTAGACCCCCTTCGTGCGGTTTCCTGATGACAATTTGCCAGACCACTTTGTTTATGCAAGAGGTTCTGTTGGGGTCTCCTTTCCACAGGAAGCATCTAGCCCTAGCCTTCCGACTCTTTAGCTCGTCATCGGCGGGACCATATGGATGCCATGTACCATAGCATGGAGAATATTGCCGTGTCAATGATAAGTGCTCTGCCCAGCAGAGAAGCTTGAGCTCTTTTGCAGGGAGCTAGGCAGGTTATTGCTCTGGCGATTAAATTCTCCCCCATCCCTTGCCAGATGCCGTTTTTGTGATGCCCAGATACCGGAGTGCTTGGTCGCCTGTGGACCATGACATTGGGATGGATAGGTCTGGGGGTTGGGGGGGGTGTCTTGTGCTAACCACCAGCCTTTTGTTTTACACCAGTTTGCCTTCATTTCTGTTGTGAGTCGGAAGGCTTCCATAACTCTGACCAGGGCTTGAAAGGAGGAATTGTTTGTGCGGATGAGAACCGTGAGGTCGTTAGCGAACATCAGCGCAGTGGGTAGGGTGAAGTCATGGAGGGGACTGTAGTTTTGTTCGGTGAGGCGGTCTATGGAGGGGTCTTTGCGGAGGAAGGAGGCTATGGCTTCCATGATGAACAGAAAAATTGGGGCGCCAGCGGGTCGCCTTGGCAATCAGATCTCAATATCGGGCAAGTGTCTGACAGTGTTCTGTTTATCTGGACTCTGCCTGTGGCGTCTCCGTAGAGCACTCTTACCCATTCTCTAAAGTTTGGGCCGACTCCCATCTTCTCCATACAACTATGGAGGAATCCCAGTTGACTTGATCATAGGCCTTTTCATTGTTTTCAAAGTAAAAAGGATTGCAGCCTGCATTCGTTTTTCTGTGATCTTCTTTGCTGCCTCATTCAGGGGCATCACCCCGGAATGAAACCTGCTTGGTCAATGTGAAAACATTTGTCTGTGAGGTTTATGATCCTGTTGGCTAGTGTTTTTGCCAGGATTTTGTAGGGGGTTGTGAGAAGTGAGATCGGTCTGTAGTTTTTTAGGTCTTCTTTTTCCACTTTATTGTGAATTAGAGAGACCACACTAATGCTTAAAAATTGACCCACCCTTTTCCTTGCTGTCATTGATGAAGTTGAGGAGGTCTTTCCCCATTATCGGCCAAACTCTTTGGATAGGCCATCGGTTCCTTGTGCCTTGTCATTACCCATTTGGGATAAGGCTGCATGCAGTTCCCCCAGGGTAATTGGTTTATCCAAGTCCTCTGTTTGCCCCTGCGAGATTGTCCTTTCAAGATACGACATCATACGTTGGCGGGCGGTGATGTTCGCTGCGGGAGGGGGGGAAGGGGTCTTGGACTTGTAGAGGTCGGCATTGAAGGATCTGGCGATCCTTACCATGTCTGTGCCGGCTGATTTTGTTTTACTCTGGTCCGTTGGATCTTTCAGCCTCTCGATCATGTTGTTTCTAGCATCGGCCTTGTTTTTTTTAGAAGAAGAACTTTGTCATGGATTCATTGAGGATGTAGTCTGTCATTCTGGCACATAGTTGTAAGCCCCTAAGTTCCCATCTCCTCCATTCGTTCAACTCGTCCCTGGTGGATATGAGTAGGTCATGATAAAAGTCGTTAGTGGGATCTAAGGCGAGGTTGGCTTCCGCGATAGACATAGCAATTTGGAGTTCCTCCTTTCTGATTTTACGTTGTTCTGCTATGCTTCTCGACTCGGACGAAGCAGTCTGGGACAGGTCCACATAGCTGTCTATGAACCATTGGTGTCGGTTATTTCGCTTTGCCTCATCCTGGCGCATTAGCAGCCAATTCCACTTGATTGCCTCGGAGGAGGGAGTTGTTTAGCCTAAAGAAGCCCTGACCTTTTCTACAGGGGAGTTGAAGTTGAGGAGCAGGTAGGTGGGTTTGTGATCTAGTTTTAAGATTGAGAACATTCTCCATTGACTACGCAAAACTTTTTGGTTGTCTTTACACAGGTTGATAGCTGCCACCCCTGTTAGGGTTCTGAAGTTGGGACCTGAGCACCATCAGGCTTCATGAGAGAATGACAGATTTTAAGTGTTCAAGCTCTTCGTGAGGTTTGGTAAGCACTAAGTACTGTGGGAGTGAGCCCAACCGAAACTTAATAATGTCCACAGCAATGTCGACCAAGTCCTGAGGCGATCCGATTGTCAATGTCAGCAGCAAATGGCAATGCACACGAGAAGGAAGAGAATGAAGGGAACACAGTGAGTAGTCCTAAGTAATACACAATAAGAAGAGTCTCAGTGTCCCCCAGTCTCTCGCACTTTCTTCAGGCCCTTCTCATTTGATCACCACCTCTGATCAACCCTGGCTATGCCACCTCTCATCAACCCTGACTATGGCACCTCTCATCAACCCTGGCTATGGCGGACTCGTCTCTCCAACAATCTCCTGTCCAGCCTCTCCAGCCTAAGCCAGTCTCATCACTCTCTTTGCAACAGACTTTGCAGAGATCCGGCGCGTAAAGAATAATTCCTTGATTGAAGAATGTCCATCCTGTGTACACTAAAAGTCTGCTTCCACACTGGGGTTATGGCCGCCAGTCACCAGGTAAGCTTCCTCCACCCCCAAGCCTCTTCTCTCTCTAAGTGTCTCCCTCGATCCTCCTCCTACTCTACCCCTGTCCTTGTACCGCTAGTGGCTATGGTTGCTTGCCTTCTACCTCTAGCTGCTATGGCAGCTGCCCAAGCGCTCTCTCTCCTCTATCTGGTGGCAGCAGGGTAGCGTAGCACACTGCTCCAGTGCTGGCAAGAGCAAGAGCTAAAGGCAGAACGTGCTGCACCGGACTGGAAGCGGAGACAAATCGCTTTGCACAAGGCTCCGGGCCTCACTCAGTAGCTGTGCTGAGGTGTCTGCTGCTGCGCTGAGGCAGTTGACCACCTGGTAGGCTGGATTCATGCAAAGTCAGACTGGGCCTGAATATCGACTTTTCTCAGGACTTTGCATGAGCTGTGGGATATGTCTGTGATCTGCAGCCAAAATTGGCTTCTGGCGAAATCTTTGACTCCTGTTCTAGCTCAGTCAGACTGGACCTGAACCGGGGTACATGAATCCAGGCCTGACGACTGTCTTCGCCCAAATATAACGCCCGATCATTATAGCTGTATTTACTATTTAATGCATTTTTCAATCCAGATGCAACGATAATTAACGGGAGTTCTATTCGGGTGAAAACGGTAGCCCAGTAAGCCTGCCGTTTCTCAGTCCGAACATACCTCAGACCCTACCCTCGGCCTCTATGGACTTGGACTGACCTCAGGACCGGAAGACTGACTCACGGACTTTTTGGATGTGGTTTTCTGACCCTGCTTTTCCCGCATTGTAAACGTTGTCCAATGCCGATGTTTTCAGGAAAAAGAGAAGATGGAGAGGGAAAAGCAGAGGCTTGCAAAAGCGGGTATTAAGTATGGGAGTGATGCCAGCAGCTCTAGCGAAGTCCAAGGTGAAGCACCCCCGGACTCTCCAAAGGAGGAACAGGGTCAGGAGAGGGTACCTGACCGCGAAAAGAGAAGCCTCGAAGATGAGACTGTTGAACAGGTGGGTCCATTTCTGTGCAATTAGAACTCCCTCTTTGTAATTAGCTGGAATGGTGGCAAACTAGTTATACTGCAGAAGGCCTCGCCTCTTATAGATTTTCTGTGAAATAGTTTAGGCATATGGTCCCTTCAAAGCTTCGACTGCAACAATGATGACGAAACTCAAATAGTACGTGTCTCACCACCTAGACACAATCGAGTGATATCGTGCTGTACTTTGGTTCAGACGTTGTATGCGATGGGACGTGGAGATTGCTGTTGGTTCTCCTAATCCTGTTTGGGACTGAGTCGAGTGTGTGCGCGTGTCTATGTTTCAAAAAAAACAGACTCTCTCTCTCTCATTCCACACACAAATCGTCAAAAACCATCCATGAAACGAAGAAAGCCACGTTTGTGTGGTTAAGCATAAAGTGCCCAAAACATCAGGCACACCCCTGTCTCTTATACACATCTAGATGTGTATAAGAGACAGGTACTTTGGTTCAGACGTTGTATGCGATGGGACGTGGAGATTGCTGTTGGTTCTCCTAATCCTGTTTGGGACTGAGTCGAGTGTGTGCGCGTGTCTATGTTTCAAAAAAAACAGACTCTCTCTCTCTCATTCCACACACAAATCGTCAAAAACCATCCATGAAACGAAGAAAGCCACGTTTGTGTGGTTAAGCATAAAGTGCCCAAAACATCAGGCACACCCAATGCAAAATGATAGAGCAGCCAACTGAAACAGGAGACCATCCAGGTCTTCCTGTGAAGACTATGTTTGGGTCAAGTCTAAGGAATTTCTGCCAGAACTTCCCAGAAGGGATTTCTTTGAAAGTGCTACCTGCGTACAGAGGACCGTGGGAACTGATGGATTTGATAGGAGACGCAGATGGTCCACCATATGTCATGGATATACCTCCCCACCTGCACACCTATTCCGTGTTCCATGCCTCCAAGTTGCTGCCATGCGTGAAAGATGATTCATTCCCATCACGAGATTTATGATTCCCCCTGATGTGGACGGTCTCTATTGTAGATGAAGATGCCTATAGGAATGGAAGAAGGGAAAAGACCGCAGCCACCGTGCAAGCTCCAGTTCCAGTATCAGGAACCTGAGGATGATAGGTGGTACGCTAAGAATGAGCTGCGAGAGACAGCCACGGGCATAGTGTCACACTATGAGAGGGCTTAAGAGACGCATAAACATTGCAGACAGGTCAGGAAGGTCATATCTTTCTCAGTGAACCTCCAAACTAGGCCAGTGGGAGTGAAAGGAAATTGAGTCCCAAGTCGGGGCCCAAATGTCCCAAGGTCCTGTGTCCTGCGTATCATATCCAACCGGCAGGGCCGGAGACTGAAATGCCACTGGAGGGTCCAGTAGGTTGGTAGGAGTCATTGGTAGGACATGGGAAAGGCATGTTCCCGACAAAATGTCTCCGTGCCAAAATAGCAGCATGTGCAAGGACAGTCCGCAGACATCCGGAACCGACAAGCAAAATTGTGGCCAGAGGAGCCAAGAACCATTACCAGTCGGAAGATGGACAGTCAATTGCAGTCAAGTACAAAAGGCCACTACATTGCCAAGAGCACACACATCTTCGTTTGAACTGTTGCGGAAACACTGCTGGTTGCTTGTGCATGCACTGCAGGGTGGCTTGGTCGGGCATAGTACAGTAGTCTACCACGCTGGGCGGCATAGCTTATACCTAGGGTTGATGGAGGAGAAGCTTGAGGTGTAAAAGAGGGTGACCTGTGTGAGCAAGGCGTCCGGAGAAAAAAACGATCCCAACCAGGGGGGGGGTGTAACGTGCACGAGGCTGAGGGAGAGCCGAGGGAGAGGAGAGAGAGAGGGAGAGAGAGAGGGAGAGAGTTAGAGCACACACGCACACACACACACACACACTCGACACGACTGAGGGTCGGACGCAGACACAGTGGCTAGGGCACAAAGTCGAAGTCTTGGATTCCCGAATGCCGAAACAGCAAGTCACACGGAGTACGAGTACAGCAGCTGGAAACTGGTACGAGACTGGTCCCCGTACCGTACGGGGAGCCGGTACAAGTACCGGTGACACGTACGGTACCAGGGGCATTTCTGCAAAGGCCTCGAGGGCAGAACTGAAAAATGCGGTGTTTGAAAGTGGCACCTGAATTGCAGCATGGCGCCAGTTGTCCAAAATCCTACGGTACCAAAGGAGGGGTTTGGAAAAAGGGTGCCAGTCCGAAAACGGGATGCAGCCGAAACAGCAAAAAGATAGACCAGGGATGGAGCCCTGGCGGAGTCCGTAACAGGGGGG